TACAGAAAGTGGCCTGAGAAAGGTGGGTCTTGGACTTACTGAGACCCCTGCTGCTGTTGTTCTGGCAATCCCTGGTCTGATGGCAGTGGCCTGACTAGCCCCTCTCCTGGCATGGAGGCTATATGTGGCAGTGGGGGAGGATGTTCCAGTTCATACAGTAAACACATCTGAGGTGTGTGGTGGGGGCATTTGAATGTGGGCGCGTGGTCGTGTGTGTGAGTGAGTGTGTGTGAGAGAGAATCAACCGTTTATGCTTTGCAGTGATATTTTCGGGAGCATAACAGTTATACATGGATTTTGAACTACACTGGGGTCCAGCACCCCTAACTCTAGCACTGCTGAAGGGAGAAGTGTATGCTATTTGATGGGATGAATTTCAAGATACGCTGCACATTCTCTGCTGAACTAACACAAAGAAGGATCACGAATATCCGCCAAATATTTTTCCTCCATTTCTTTCAGGGTTTTAATTTTAAAAGCATATGGATTGTTTAAAAGAACTCTGTTCAAAAATTGGGCTATCGGCCGATAGATGAAAGAAAAGTGCCCTCTGTGCCCAATTGGCTCTTACCTATTGAATGTGTGGCCTGGAGAGAACTTTCAAGAGAGGGAGGCTAACCTTTTCTCATTAGAAAGCAAGACTTTTGCATACACCTCTCTCCTCCTGATGCCTTCCCTCACCAAGAAAGGATATAGGCTGACCAGTAGGAACGAAAGGAAAGGAAGGAAATTTCCCAGGTCATTTACACCTCTGCAAACCTGGCTCACAGTCCTCATATGTCCCCTCCTCACTCAGTTACTCAATCATTTTTCCAGCATCCCAAGCTTTTAAACTGAGCTACCCGCGCCACCTAATCAAAGCTGCCGTTCTTGGTCTCTGGCTTGCGGCCAGCTGTTGACTGACCAGCTGTCTGTAATAATTAACAACTCCAGTTGGCAGAATTAGACACCCTTTTGCCAGCCAACAAAAACATCTGGGGAGGCATTTTCCCCTCCCTCATGGGAACGGTTTTGATGGGAAGAGTGGAGAGGAGTACAGTTTTGACTCACCTCCTCTAGGATCCACCTTGAACTGTGGCACCTTATACCATCCCTCTGGCACACAACTCAATAGGGCATTCCGTTACTGGGATAGTCCTGTGACTGGGCAACTGGTCCAATCTTTGCAGCAGCAGATGTGAGTTAAAAGACAAAAACCTCTTGACTAAGGAATGATTAATTTATGCAAATTAACAAGCCTGTTAAGATGGATTTAGGAAATAAATTTTTTTAAGTGCATAGCGACCAACAAAAAAATGGTCCAAGGTGCTTTACAACATTGTCAATAAAATATAACAATAAAACACCATGAATAGTTGACTGGGTTAACTAAGTAGAAGGCAAATTATATATTAAAATCTGCAGGCTAAAGGAATTTTGGCAACCAACTAGCTGCTAAAGAAGGGGTTTTAAAATTGGTGAATGCTATACCTTTTTAGTGAAAAAAATTAAAATTACATGTAACACAACTGAATTCATCTTAACATTGCAACATGCTTTTGTTTGCTTGTTTTTACTCTCATGGGCTATCTTGAGTCCTGTTTTGAGTCCCAGAAAGGCAGTATGTAAGACAGATAAATATGCAGGGACACAACTGTCCACGTAGAATCAAGATGTCACTCCACCGATACAGATTTGCTCACCACCACACACTCTACAATAGTTTAGAAAAGGTGAAGGGTGAGGAGGGGACAGGGAGGGGGAGAACGAGGCACCAGAAGGACTTCAGACTAAAATAGGTATGATGACTTGCAGCTGTTTCATTGCCCCTCTCGGCAAAACTCAGAGGGTGCTCGAGCTAGCAAATAGCTAGCATCTGTTTTTATGAAAAAGAGCACCTCCAAACACACATTAAATAGAACAACAGGATAGTGGGCGGAGAAAAAGAAGCATGTAAAAAAACAGGAAGTTGGCCCAGGCACTGTCTCTCACAAACAAGCTGTAACAGGGCAACATCATTCACCACTTGAGGTACAGGGGGCTGTTTCTAAAAGGTGGTACTGTATATTTTGTGTGCATATCCCTTGAGCCAAGCTCCATGCCGGTTGAGGGGCTTCTAAGAACAATGTGAGTATGTCAGATGCCACAATGCCTTCTTGTACAAGTTCTGCAATAGCTACTACAATGGTGTCTCGACTTACAAACTTAATTGGTTCCAGAACTTTGATTGTAACCTGAAATGGTTGTAAGTCGAAGCACCATTTTCCATAGGAATGGCTTTGAAATGCAATTAATCTGTTCCGCCCGAAGGAAAAAAAATCGCAAAAAAAAACACAAAACACTGCAAGACCCATCAGAAACACAATTAATCCATTCCGGCCGAAGGGGGGGGGAAGAAAAGCAAACAAACTGTGCAAGACCCATTGGAAATGCAAAAAAGCAAAGCAAACCTCACAAGACCCATCGGAAATGGGGGGGGGAGACCCAAAAAGCAAACCCCGCAGGACCCATCACAGCAAAGAAACATAATCCCATCACCCAGCCCAAAACCACGCTGTAAAACCCACCCAGAACTGTTTCTAAAAAGCAGAAAGCAGCACCTTCCCTTACCAGGCAGTCCGAAGCCTCCTCTGATCGCAATCACTCTAACCGCTGGGGCGAAAGAGCTACAAAGAAGCAGCCTCTTCGCCTACCAACGGTTAGCAACTTGAGTTCCACGCCTTTTTGCCCTGCCTTTTTCTATCCCTAACTGGAAGCTCTGGCTGTAAGTCAAAGCAAAATTTTGCAGCTGGAGCTGGTTGTAACTTGAAATGGTCGTATCCTGGGACGTTTGTAAGCCGAGGCACCACCACTGTAATTATAACATCTGTACTGTCCTCATTCCTCAAACACCTTCCAGTTCTCTTCAATATATCCTAATATCTTCCCACAGCTATATATTGGTTTTATTTATTTCCATACAGCTAACCTGTTTGTTGGTTTCAGTTTCATTTATGGAAAGGACTAGTGTCCTTTTTGAAATGGTGCATTGCAGGAATAACCCCTTGGCCTAAGCATTGTCCTGACTGAAAATTTTAAATGTTACTAGACAATCTCTGCTCCTAATGGACTCCAGGGCAATGTACAGCACGAAACCACAACATACAAAATACCATCTGTCATAAAACATAAACATGAGACACCATAAAATCATAAAACCGCAGACACACAATACGAGCAATTTAAAACCCCTTTGCAAAAAGAATATCTTAACATGGTACCAAACGTGTGTCCGCACTAGCCATACTTCAGGGGAGGGGACAAAAGCTGTGTGCCACAACAGAAAAGGCCCTCTGCTTTGCAGAAGTGTAATGACTCCTAATGGGTTGTACTCAGAGAAGGCTTGCTTCTGAGTATCTTACTACACAGGCAGGATGGTATGAGAGGAGACACGCCTTCGAATATCTCATCCCAAATGACTTATCCCTTCTCATAGTTAGTACCCTCAACTTCTTCTAGATCTAGACAGATCACCTTGCCCTCCTGGCCTTGTGACTCACCTGCCACGGTCAAGCAAGCAGCAATTTCCTGTTTATGTCACTGGAAGCAGCTGCTGATACTTGCCACTGGGCAATGAATCTAACCACAATTGCAGCCATTGCCACTGGAGAGCAATAGGGGTGGTGGGAGGGAGGTAGAAAGGATATTACAACCTGAGTACCTCAAACCTTTTCTGGCTAAAATTCAGGCTCTTTCCCAGGAGTAACAAATTTGAACAGCATAGATTAATTGTTGAGGGGACACAAACAAACAAACAAACAAACAAACAAACAAACACACACACACACACACACACACACACACACACACACACACACACACACACACACACGCACATATGCACACACACAGAGGGCAATGTGAATTTCCCGTCCTTTCTGTTTCTTAACGCAAGTCAAAATCTGAAAAGCACTCTTTACATTTTCTCTGCTTTGAAGATGCCACAAGTGGGTGAGAACTTAACATTTCTTCCTGAGAGTTGGAGGGAGGTGAACACTCTTGTTTTGGTCCCGCTCATGTTGCAGGGGAACAAGACATGTATGTAATTTGCAAATCCTGCTCTTATTATACACCAAGGTCATTCCAATGCCCTTCTGAGCACAGACACGAGGGAACCCACGGGAAGACTAAAGTTCAGCACAATGGCCTTGGGATCCCTTCCAAGCTCTATAAAGCATCTTCCATTGGGTCAATCACTTGCAGGGCCCAATTCTATTTCCTATCTTCTAGAACATGGGCAAACAACTGCAAAACCTTGAAACTGATGTCAAAAAGCATTGCATTGTAGGTTTCCTTTTTTAAAAAAGAGCTCCATAGGTGAATCCTACATTATTCTCCAGGTGGAGAAGAGGGTGTATTTAATAATAATTAGAAACTAAGAGATGAAGAGTTGAATTTAGTATGAAAGTAACTATGTCCGAGTAAATCAAGCCCTTTGGGATGGGTGTGTGATTTCTTTTAATTTTTTTTAAAAAAACTTTACATAAAGAGAAAATCTATTCCTATAACAATACTGTGTGTGTATTTTCCTTAGAGACCGAAAAGCAAGGTTCAGCAGCACAGGCAACGATGCTATGGAGGTTTGTTTTTAGCTAGGGCTCTCAGGTTGATACAGGCAGGCTGTTAAGGTTTTTAAATGCTGCCTACGTCTTCCACACTGGGAATGCTAAAGCATGGAGGATACTGTTGTAGAATCTGCAGACAGCTATTACTGTACTTCTCAGGATGTTGCTAGACATAAAAGGAGGAGTGCCTCATGGTTATTCAGGCTGAAATGTGCCATACGTGCATGGACTCTCTCCCACACATATGCTGTTAGCTATATCTTCTAGTTAAGACACAATTTCTAGCTGACCACAATTCCTCCCACCCATGTGAAACAAAGGTTGATTGGCTATCTTGGCTACAGAGACATTAACGAAGTCCCTAAAGTCTATTGCAAGCTGGAGGTGGGGTGAAAGTTAATTAGTATTAGCACTGACCTGTGAGCAAAGGGCATTCTTGTGGATTTTCTTGTAAATAAGAGCTGGACAGATAAAACAGATGAGGCTTCCCATCGTTGCACCTGTTAGACCCAGGATGGTCTCCACTGGCAGAGAAAGGAAGAGCAACAAATTGTGAGCAACAGACAGAGACTCCACATATATTAGCTGTTTCCTTAATTAGAGGCCCCTTCATTATTCATAGTTAGGATTGTGAAGGATGTGTTTTCTATCCTTTCTTTACTGCCCACAGATGAAGCTGAGATTTTAATCTGCTTCAGCAGCTATGGTAATACCAGCACAAGATCGTATTGGTATACATTGCATCACATCATGTGATAAATTAATACCTTTAGTGTTATATCCACCTACACAAAAGTGGATTAGGATACCTCTTTTATCTCTTAAGTATGCGTTAAAAGGATGCAAGAAACACATTCTTAAGAATACTGATGGCTGCCATGGCAAAGTTTGCTTAAAGTGAGACCAATTTGTGGTAAGTGCTTCCCATTATAGATTCAGGGTGCTGGCTCCTCTGGGCTTCTTAGCACAGAACATCATCCTTTCTGCTGGAGGTCTGAATCAAGTAAACTTGCAATCACTGACTGCAAGTAGAACCACGAATTGAGAAGACAACCCTTTGCAATTCCATATCCTGTATATCATTTCAGAACAATTTTAGCAAGGCAACTCCTCATCCCCATTCCTTCTTTGCCTCCCTTAAAACCCTGTTGTTTCAGGCCTCTAGAAAGGGTGTTCAGTGTGATGATTACAGCAGTGACTTTGAATCTATTTTTTAACCCTAATAGGCCCCTTATATGAACACCAAGGTCTCTCTGTGTGTTCTTCTACCTGCAAATCTATACGATGGCAACAGCTAAGAAGTTGTTTACAAAGGAACTGTGGAGATAAACAGATCTCATTTTCAATATATACCAAACGAACACCTAATAGCATTTCCAGCACTGTGTATATCAAAATGGCCGCAGGCTGCTTTGGAAGGAGAATGCTGAATTAGGTCTAGTCCTGTTTTGAAATATTGCAAAGCTAAAGCAAAATGTCCCAGCCCATGAAAATCCGTGATAGCAAAATGGCAACAGAAATGTGTGGAAACAGAAATATAAGGCTCAATCTTAGAAAACAACTGATGCATGTATACAAAGGTTCACAAATATGGTAATTCCAAGCAGAATTATTATGGATACACAGATCTGAATTTTAATCCATAAAAAGCAGCATACACCTAATTTTGCATATTCTCTGCAGAGGATCTTTTTTGGCCTGAAGGCTGAATTGCAATTTAGGAAGGATCTCTGAGACCACAGTCCAACAGCAGGCAGAGGTAAAGTCAACAAAGGCAATGTGAACAGGGCCAGACACAATTCCTAACAAACTGACACTTGAATACTTCTCAGTCCATACATGTCTGCTCAGAAGTTCAACATTTTCCAACCCTGCAAAACAAAAGTCAATTCCAGAGGACTTAAATTTCAAGTCTCTTTCAAACTTCAGTCATCTTGGGTCCCCCTAATGGGAAAAAGGGAGACAAGACAGACAGATAATGGAATTCTATACATACTATATATTTTTAATGGAGTGCAATTTCCTCCTTTGCATACATTTTGGCCTAAATATAGGTAATCCCATGGGACTGAATAATAAAACAGGATGAACAGTAAAAAAAATATCAGCTAAACAAAAATTGTTACTCACCATTTGGGATCATGATACCTCCAACCATGGTTCCAAACACCACCGCCAGGGTCAAGGCTTTAAATCGGAGAGGTGGCATGTAACCACCTGCAGCAAATGTCCCATCTTTTTGCTATTTCAAAAGGAAAAAAGCTAATTAAAAATTCTCTTAGCAGCCCCTCTTCTCTTATGCGAACCCATTCCAGCTTCAGTCCCCTCTCAAAATGCCTGATAAAGGATATATTATGATTTAGCAATTTACTCACAGAATCATTAGTTCTGCATCTATAGCTTTCTAAAATTGTGTCTCGTACTAACCCCAGACTTTGAAATCACAAAGGGGAAAAAAATCACCACAACTTGCCACCAGAATATTCAGATTACAGTTACTCTGATCTTTTGAGCCTGTTTTTATTTGCCTATCATGGCTCATAACTATCCTAAAATGGCTTTTGAAAGTTCTTCAAATGAACTCCCCAACAGACATGATGGCATTTAGGTGCAGACACTGAACATCAGTGGCAGAGAGAATTCTTGAAGATGAGATCCACTAAGTCTGCAGCACCCTTGAACAATCTGCTTGGCTAACTGTGCAACTTTTTCAAACACTTACACAAAACATACAGAGGGCACACACAAAAGAACCCAAATCATTTTAAGAATACAACTTTGCCTCAAGAAAGAGTCACACATTTAGCACAGGTTTTGTGGTTTTACGAATGTGGCATCATAAAGTGGCAAAGCAGAGGAAAGAAGATGATTACCAACAGCTTCTCCCTAGGACAGGAATGGGAAAATCCTTTGGTGGCTGGACTGCCCCTTGGGACTCAGAATCCTCCTGGCGGATGAGGGTGTGGGCAAGCAGAAGAAAGAGTACCTGGATCTCAGGAGGAGGGCATCCTGTGGACCCTCTGCAATCAAACCTCTGGTCATCATTGGACTAAGCAGGTCCATGGACCAAGAGTTTTCCTCCCCTATTCTAAGGCAGTATTGATTCCACACTTGCATGGTACAGTCTAGCTTGTTAGTTAATAATTTCTTTTCATGTGTGACTACAACTTCTAATCCTAATAGAATAAAGATTCTATTTATCCCCTTTGCATGAGACAGAAAGTGGGGGACAGGAAAACAGCAGAGAAAAATAAAGTGCACTATGAACACAACCTCAGACTAAGGTAGACCACAAAAGAAATGGAGCAAGTAGATGAACCAAATTATAAGGGCTGTCTTTACCTGCTGCTCAAAGAGAAGAGTATTCAAGGCTTGTCGGCATGGCAGAATCATCATAGGAAACCCAACTGCCACAGACATCATGAACCCAAAGCGTATCATCTCTGTTACCAGATTGGAGGGAAAGTTCATCAGCACGTTCCCCTCAATGGCTTCTGTGTAGCTCACATAGCCAAAAAACCCCACCTGTTCAAGTAGGAAATGGGAATTATTATCAGTCAGTGCCTGACTGCATCCCTTTGTCCAACAGAAAGAGTAGACACTTGGGCGTCCCTTGGGCCCACCCTCAAGTCAACAGGGAAATGGTCCCTTTTCTCCCCTACCTATGAACTTTGAATTAATCCCTCTCATTCCCCCACCTTGCTCTGCACCTTATAAATTGATTAGTTCTAATGCTTTATATTCTGATTCCTACAAAAACCATCTGGAATCTCAAATAACTTTCGCTGGGTCTTCCCATATATTTTTTAATTCCACCTTTTGTTTTTGTTTTGTTTTTTTGGGGAGAGGGTTGTTTTGTTTGAGGCTGGTTGACGAGAACTGCATGCAATACTTAAAGAGCAGATGTATAATAGATTTATGACACACTAAAACAAAGCTCCACTGTGATATAAGTAAGTGGGAAGGCATTCAGTCATTCCCAGTACTTCACTTTGACAACGTGTAGGAGTGTTTTCTCCAAAGTAAAAATACTGCCATAACTTCAAATTCCTCTTCAACATCTTAAAAGCCATGACCACATTTTTATCAGCATGGGTAGAGGGGGGTGGCTGAGACTGCTAAATTGCCTTCCATAACCTGGGACTGCTCTATATTTCGCCAGGGATGACAAACTAGTAAAATCCCCAATCCTATTCTGTTAACAAGGGAGTTGTTGCAACTCACTTTCAGCTCACCTTGCCTGGTCATGATGTCTTCTAAGTGTAACTGGATTTTACATAACAGCATTTTATGGGATGTGGCACAAGTCGTATTTTTTCTGGTTGCCAACAACCTTGATAAAGAGAATTTCAGTCCACTCCACCAAAGTCTCCTAAGTAGACTTCCTGACCATTCTCCCATCCAAGATAGAGCCAAGGATGTGAAAAAGCAAAGCGTGCTGCTTATATACCTCCCCACAGCGCTTCAAGCACTCTCCAGGCAGTTTACAAGTTAATTATGCAGGCTACACATTGCCCCCCCAGCGAGCTGGGTACTCATTTTACTGACCTCGGAAGGATAGAAGGCTGAGTCACCCTTGGGCCGGCTACCTGGGATTGAACCCCTGGTCGTGAGCACAGTTTTGGCTGCAGTACAGCAGTTTAACCACTGCACCACGAGGCTCTGAACTGACAGCCAAATGATACATGGAGAAAGAGATACTACAACCCTGAGGAGTAGTATCTTCCAAGCACTGTTTAGATCAGCAGTGGGCAACTTGGGAACTATTCGGGTGTCAAGAGACTACAATTCCTATCAACCCCAGCCAAAAGCAAGGTCATGATTTCCCATCCCACTCCAGAAGCTTTGTTTCAGAACAAAAACTGGGAGGAGCCCTTTACCATTGCCTCTTCCAAGACCCTTCAGAGGTGTGTACCAGCACAAAGGACACATTATTATAGCTAAAGTGTCCACCACTCATCTCTGATTTAAATAAATGCAAAAAAATTATCCTACTGTAATCAATGCTGCTATTTTTACTTTTCATACAGAAATTCCTGGCCTTGTGGGTCAGACTGCAACTCTATCTAGTTAACTGTGAAGTTAGACTACAAGGGTGTGTGTGTATGTGTGCGTGCGTGCATGCATGTGCGTGTGCTCTTGCTTTGCTCTAATCCAGCTGAGTGAAATTTACTATTCGTACATCTCTGGCCTCTGGAAACATCCCCAGATAGTGTCCACAGCATGTGGCAGAATATGTCAGTGCTTCTTACAGTTGTTTCTCCACTGCTTCAAAACATACCCAGAGGAGCATTTTCAATTATTATTCTGAGAAGGAGGAGGAGCATGGGGGAAAAAAAAACCTATTTTTAAAAAAGAGTTCTCACCATAACATAAAACGAGGTGACCACTTTAAGGGATGAGGCAAAGATGGAACTCATGCTTGTGACGGACGGCTCATCCAGGCTATCATAGGTTGGCAGGACCTGTCTGTAGAAAGGCAGGTAAAAGTTAAAACACATCAGAATGTTTTCTGAGGAAGGAAAAAAATTAGTGCCCTCTTGCCAGCAGAGTATAATTACCGACACCTTTCTCACAGGTGCTTGACACTCCACGGCAATTTATGCTGGTAATGCCAAGAGATTCCACATCACTTGCATGTTTAAGTGCTGCACAAAGGGGCCCTTTGCCTTCCTCCTCCCTGTCACTGCCACGTGTGCAATGTAAATATTTCAAATTCTTGGGGAAAGCATGTTGCAATATGAATGACCACTTGTTTGCCTCAAACACCAATGGCAGAGTTCCAAACAGTGTGCTGGAGATTATTGTTCTCGGAGCGTCCCGCGTTGATAATTAAAGCAATACAGTGTTTACAGAATAACAAGCAGGAAGAGGGCTGACGAATCGTACTGTCCCAGAAAAAAAGTTAAGCAACCAAGACTAAACACTCTTTCTGTCGTATTTTAGAACCAAATCTTGAGCCTGAGCTCACGGGAAAAACCGGAAAGGCCAGTTACGTGGGGCTTGGGTGCTTATGCACGTGGAAACGTGTTTCCCAACATCAGATTTACAGCTCATTATAACAGCTTGAGGTTGGATGGCCCTAACTTGTTGACCACACACTCCAGAACAGAGAGATACAGTATTAAGGGATTGGGGGGGGGGTCAATAGGAAGGGAAGCTGGTATCTTCTAGACCCATTAAGCAAAAACATGAAAGGAAAGAGGAAAACAAACTACTGAGGAAAGCCAAATGATTTTTTTGAAGCTCTGTATTGTGCTGGTAAATAAGGGGCACAGAACACAGCCCTACTTGGGTATTAATGAAGATCACAGCAGTATACTTCCTAGATGAATGAAAATATCAATTTGATTTACAATCTGATTCTTGCCTTATATGATGCAAATGATCATAAACACAGCCACCCTATATGCATGCTTTTATATGTACAGTAAGTAAAAACACACCTGGGAAAAAACACAGATAAGGTTGATAACTGAGGGTGTGAATCAAGCCTTAGGGAGGTTCTCATGATGTAAGATGACCTTATGCATCTCCATGTAAGAAACCTTTTGCCTCTCCATTCCCAACAGACTAAGGAAGAAACCTTTTGCCTCTCCATTCCCAACAGGCTAAGGAAGTCTAAGTGATGCATAGATGGAACCCATCCATCACATCTTTAAAACAATACTACTAGTTGCTATAACCACCTGATTCAGATGAGGATCAGAGCAATGGGGAATTTCAACCCATTTCTTCTGTAGCATATACCTGATTGAAATCCTCCTCCCCAGCCCTATTATCATTTGCTCAGTGGCAGAACTTGAAAGTAATGAGTTACAAGCAATGGCTTGTTTAACACATTACCTTTTTGGGCCATAAAGGCATTATAGTGACCTTTTCACAAAATAATGTAACAACTGCTAATATCATTATGTTTTTCAGTTTAATTAGTAAATTGTTTATAAAATAACTGTAATTTTAAAAACTAAGAAATAACAGATCAACTCATACTGTAACAACAATCTCTCTTAAAGTACTGAGAAATGGCTAATCTCCTACCTTCCAAAAGTAGCGAATTACATCTCAGACATTATTTCTTTTAAGAAATCGGAATTAATGTAACAAGTTCAGTTCAATGGGATAAAGAGAAGAATGCCACTAAGACAAAGGGTCAGCTTCCATTTCCCCCAGTGCCCTAGTCCCTTCTGGATTCTTCCCATCACCTCTTCATAGCTGCTATTCTTTGAAAAATACTCCAGGAGACCCTATATGTCTCTGGTTCTCAAGAAGTTTGCCTCAAATAAGACATTATAAGCAGTAGGAAAATATTCCACCAAGTATGAGCTGGGTGGCAACTGGCAAAATTAAAGCATCCCTATTCAGAGGCAGCGATCGTACCTCTAATGATGACCCAATACTGGAGACCAAACAGCAAACCTGTTCTTGCCACCCTGCCCTACTTCTGAACTTCCCAGGGGCATCTGGCTAGTTACTGTTGGGAGGAAGGATATTAGACTCCAAGGCCTTTTGGCCCAATCTCAAGCAAGGCAAATCTTGTGTTCTTAGGACAGGAGTCAGCAGGATCAGAAGCCATTTTTCTCCCCGCTTAATATAAACCAGCTCCAAGACATTTTGACTTTTCAGACATCACTGTAAAAATAAGTTCTCCAAACCTATGAGACATGCAAGCCAAAACCTTCCTGCTGGTCATGACTCCAACACATATGCACACAGGCACCACCCCCCCGCCCCCCAAGCAGTGCAACGTAGCCTGCACAGATTTTATTCTCAAGCTAAAATGTACACCCTCACGTAAGCCAAGCGGAGATCTAGGCATTCAGGGCTCAAAAGCCTTTGTCTGACAAACACTTTGTATGCTACAGGCTCAGGATTCCTCACATCACTTGCAATCACATAAATGCTACTCCTCAGGGTAGACCAGAGAAAGATATTTAGACCAAATGCCCTTTACATTTATCTCTCAATTCCCAAGATGAGCCCAAGGAGAGAAAGAGCACAAACAAGCAGCTTCTGAGCTTGATATGGATACGCAGCTGCTGCTACTTGATGAAGAGAGACCTATTTCTTTTGTTAACAGATTTTCATCTCTACCGTTAGAAAAACATCCTGTGTGTGCAAAAAACAAACAAACAAATATGAACAAATAAAAAGAAATCTGAAAAGGTGCATTTGCAACGTTATTTTCAGATCTGTTATAAGATGGTGGGCAATGTGGCTCAGAAAATGAGCCCAATCCTGCAAGATAAAGAGATTCTTGGGGGCCCAAGTGGCTGCAACATTTTATCACACTTAAGGATCAGAGTGTTATTTCATCTGATGTAGGATGGCCACCACCAGCAGCTTGCAAGCTGTAAATGGGGCTGAGTCCTGTATGTAGGGTAAGCCAAAGAAAGCTTAGAATGATCAACTTCCAGATGTTTCCAGGGAGACGGCTGCGGCAGGCCACTTTATTAGAAACAACAAGAAGTCTTGTGGCATCACGAAGGCTACCCAGTTTTATTTGGAACAAGCTTTCATGGACTGCAGCCCACTCCATCAGATGTGCAGGCTGTAACTTCAGTAAAAGTTACATGCGGACATTGTTACATACAGTACATTATTAATAGAGATGGGATATTCGCATTAGTCTCCCAGGCCCTTTGGACCCCGCCCCCAACCAGCCAGTCCACTTACTGCTTGCAGTGTGGCGCACATGGCCGCCGTTGTTCACGCCGCACCAATCACAGAAGTAGGCTGGCTGGTGCTCCCCCACCATCCTGCACTGCTGTCCACTCCAGCAAGGAGGCAGGATGACGAGTCTCCCCACTCAACTACTGAGTGGTCAGCAGCACAGGGAGATGGGGGAGCACCGGCTCAGCAAGGAGGCAGGATGACGAGTCTCCCCGCTCAACTACTGAGTGGTCTGCAGCACAGGGAGATGGGGGAGCACCGGCCGGGCTACTTTTGCAATTGACGTAGTGTGAATTATGATGGCCGCATGTGCTGCAAGTGGTAAATGGACCGGCCAGTTCTGGGGGGTAGGTCCAAAGGGCAAATACAAATATTTCATCTCTCATTATTAAACTTGTTCATCTCTGAGGTACTGCAAGACTTCTTGCTATTTTAACATCCAGGTGGGTTCTCTGAACCTTTAGAAACAGAGTCTTCAATATACACAGCAGCCATTGTGCCACAGAGGGATGCTTGAAGAATATGATCTTTGCAAATGGCAATTAGAACTGTCCTGGTCCGCATCTCCCAAACTAATGGATGGATCAGCCACATTCCCTGAATCTTCAGCATAGCTTTTTGCTCTAAAACAAAGGCATGAAATGGCATTTAAAGATGCTTGCTTTGAAAGAAAATGCCTTTAAAACATGTAATTAAATGCAAATGTTAGTGCAATTTCTTTCTTTTTAAAATCACTGATTAACATGGAAGTGAAATGGAGACAAGTTAATAGTGAATACATACGAAAGTGACTTAGACTGGAGACAGACTCATTCACCCAAACCTAGCATTACTGTAGTTCACTACACTGGTAGTGAGAGTAGTGTTACACCAAGCAATATTAGTGCCAGCCACTCAGGTCTGTAGGTTCGCACAAGGATCAACTGTGCTTCTTTCTGAAATCCCTGCATCAAAGGCTACATCACCATCATTCACATCACAAATGAGCTGTTGTGACAGGAGACTAGCCTAAGGTCACACAGGAAGGCTGTAGCAGAGCTAATACAACATTTCTAGGCTGCCTGGCTCCCATCCCCATGCACAGTCTGTTAGACCATATGCCACCCTTGGGGGGGGGGAGGCGCTTCTTCTTTGGATTTGGCAAAGATGATAAGCATCAATGCCAGAAAATAAGCCAACTCTACAAGAGTAGGCTTGTGCCTTCCCAAGCTGTAGCAACTGGCATTGCAAGGCATGTTACTTTTTGGCCCCAAAGGGAATGGATTGGGGACTTAAAAATGGCACAAAGAGTTTTTTTTAAAGTCAGTTGAGAGGTCAGTGACTGAAAGCCTGTCTACTCTGGGACTGATCAAGATGTGACATCACAGGGGCCAAGGAGTGTGTGCTATTCTTGCCCTTGGAAAAAAAATTATAGGTTTGAGCTTTAGGTTTGGCTTGCCGCGCTGGCGGTGTAGCAACCTATATTTAGACAGATCTGTGAATATACTAGTCCAGAACATATAATTTTCCTGTGTTTCCTACTCCCAACAAATGAAGGTTGGTTACTGAATGGCCACCACAAGAAAAAGGACAATTTTGGATTTTAGAAATGCCTGCTGTGGTAACGAGGTATAAGCTATAAAAGAATGAATTAACCCTTTGGTCACCAATTATAGCAGAGACACTTAAAACTGAGCGAGGCATGCCGGAGTTGAGGGATGTAATAAGTGGGGGACAAAGTGGTGAGCCCAGGCAGGCCAGACAAGGGCTCACTGTCTATCCCAGGGCCCCAAACTGCATGCACACCTCAGTCATCACACATGTCACAAATCAGAGGATGGCAAAGGCAATGTTACCAGAATGGAAATGAGACTCATCTGTGGATAAAAGCTAACAACAAATCCCACAACTAAGGAGAAACATGGGTCATACGAAAAAATCCAGAATTTTTCCACTCGAGACAAATTGTGCCAGTGTACAGCATTTGTTTTCCATAATTTATTTTTATTGACAGATTTGGAGGGGAGGGTTGGGGTGAAGTATATGAGAGGGGAGAAAGGATGGTGGATAAAGAGAGAAAAGGCTGAAAGAGGATAGACACAGGAAGAAAGGGAACAGGGGCCTTGGGAAAGGAAGGACAAGGAGTTGGCTGAGGAAGAGAAATCCCATTTGGACTACAGAGTCTTTGGGTTTTCAAATGCCAATTCCTCAAGTTTAAACTCTCTTCTCTGAAAGCAAGAGGTTCATAATGTGTTTTCTTCAAAAAAAGGGAGGGAGGGAGGGAGGGAGGAAAAGCCAGTAGCCTGAATCCAGGCTCTGGCTTAAGCTTTGTTTTGGGTTATGCTCCAACAGTGTGTGCACAGCAGCCCTGCCCATAGCCCAAGAGAGCAGCTAGAACCCTATAATCAACCATGTCAGCTTGGCTGAAACACCATATTCTTTGACTTAAATATTGTCAGCTTAAAACAGCTGGGATGCTTAATGAAGATGCTCAAGATTCATCAATTGTAGTCAAGTTCTCATATTCTACTATGGTATAATTATGCCTGCTTAAGTTCTTGTAACCTCTCAAGAACTGGAGTCAATCCCCATCTTTAGAGACAAATATTAAACCCAATGGCAAATTACAGCGTGGGGATGTATTTGCCTCCTACGAAAAAATAAGCTTTTTAAGTACCATAACTCCAAACTGAAATATAACTCCCTTCCCCAGCTAGGAAACAAAAGGGTCACAACCCAGTCAGATGCTGTACCTCACTGGGCTATAAAATATTTTGATTAAAATCAAGGCGAGGGGACCAGATGGTATCCATCCCATATAGCCCATCCTGACCCTTTGCCCTGAAAACAAACAACTAATTCCATCCCACAATCTCTGAGCAGTTTGAGTTGTTGGTACTTACGACTGACAGGCGAAAGACATGCCAAAGATAGGAATGCAGCGAAAAATGCCCTCCCAGCGTGCATAACTGACCCGCTGCAGCCACTGCCCGCCAAAGAGACCATGCTTGAAAGCAGAGAGCACGATCTGCAGCCAAGGAAAAGAAAAGAGAGGTTATGATTGAGACAACAAGGGACGCCAAATCAAACCAATGTCTGGCAAGCCAGGTTACATTAGCTTCACTAGTGTTCTGAAAGCATCAAGGGGGCAGAGCTCTGCTAGAATGATGACCAGGCCCAGAACAGTACAGGGAGTGTTTTACTACATCTTATCTTCTAGCCTTTGCTCTCCCTGAGCAGAAGAGTCAGCAAATGTGTGTTCTGCACATATTACAAAAACTACACATATAAGTGGTAGTGGGAGTATGTAAGAGTGGAACAGCTACTAACCACCTTTATGCTGAAAATTCTCCTTTTCTGGGTCAATTCTACCCTGTTGTGATCTGTTGCTCCTCCAGCAATGCCACCCAAATACACCTTGCTCTCAGTCGTGACTATGCCCATTCTTCCTTGCTGCCCCTGTTATGCATGGAACTACTTGATTAGTTGCATTGCCTCTCTCTTCCTCCAACACCTAGATTTTCTTGGGAGGCCTGACTTAAAATCTTTGCTGCCTTTTCTCTTTTACCGTGTAAGTTCCATGTTTTGACTTTTTACTAATGATTCTCTGTAAAGTATGTATGTACTGATGCAACAGCTTTGGATGCATTATGTAAACCACAGCACTTCCTGAATATGCGTTTTTCCATAACATTCATCAGCTTTGGTACATGGCACCAACTAGCCACTTATGCTCTGTATCCTGAGACTTAATTAAGGACCAGCACAGCTTCCTGAACGGCATGCTTCCTGAACTGCAAATTGATGAAATACACTTCCATTGCCTTAATGGCAACATATACAGAGGCAAGGGGTAGAATATATGGGATACAATGAGAAAGATGTGGGAATGCCATCAGCGCAAAGGTGGTTCAGAGATTCCCACTTAGGGGCTGTCTCTAGGAGTTTTGTTAACTGGCTGGAGCCCTGGCAAACCTTTTCCTAATGGAAGCAATAGATTAAATAAATACTCTGGGAGGGAAAAAAAGGAAGGATACAATCAAGGGATCCTTCTGGCAATCTGTGTGGTCTAAGAACCCACAGCATTAAGTATACAGTCTATAAAAGGTGCTGAATTGCTGGAACATGGGGATGTGGCATGATCTGCCTGGAGGAACAAGAATGTGTGGTATTAGGTAGCACATGGGAGACACATTCCTGGGTCTGTGGCCACACAGGACAGCACGCAGCTTCTTTTCAACCAGCAGTGGTCGTCTTCTGCTAGGCAGTGCCAATCACATTAAATAAAGCCTTTCAGACCAAAGCCCGGACCTATGAGTGGTTGCCAACAGGCCCTCCTGGCATCTATTTAACATGTCCTCTGAGAGCCCACCCACACCAAAAAGCTTGGACACTGAAATTTAATTTGCATTGTGGTTTCCCTTAGTTGAATTAACCACCAACCACTGAAGAAAACAAAAGCCTTCCAGTCATCATTAATACTGACCACAAACATAAACACTGTGTAAAAGATCAGAGCCATGGCGCTGAAGGACTGTATGGAAGCCATCATGTTCCTCTGGAGGCTCAGTGGAAGCACTATGCAGAGGGAGACAATAAACAGCAGGACTATGCGGAACAGGCCGCTCACCTGAAAAGTGAGGAAGAGTTACAGTGAATGGTACTGATAGGATCCTGGGGTGGGGCATCATGGAAAATCCTAGTGAATTCAAATATGCAAAACTAAACATGCAAGGTATAAACCCTCCTTCCTGCCATCCCCCCCCCAACCCAAAGAGCACTAAAGTAGAGAATCACTCTGAAAGCAAATTACGAGAAAAGGGTACTGGACTATGAAGGTAAACAGCGTCCCTCCTACCGTTCTGCGATTTGCCCAAATAGTCACTGGGTGCCACTGTTGCTCTACGAAGCTCTTATCTGGTGCATTTTAAAAGCAAAGCGCTTGTTGGCTGTTTTAAATGGTAATCCGAACACAACCTATTTGAATATCTTTTATGTACTTCCAGCAAATAAAATGAAAACTAACCTTGATGCAGAAAGGAAAATGAACGAAGAAATGGAAGTCTTGGAAATTCTGACCCAGAAAATTAACCGACAGCTTTTTGGCTATTTATTATACCAGAAAGCTTGGAAATGGCTAGAAATATTTAATACCTAATTTGGCTTTGCTTATGATGCATCTTTTTAACTTCTCAGCTCCTTAATCAGAGCTTAACTACATCCGGCCAGAGCAGATAAAAACCATGCCAAAACTCGACTGAATGTCCATTTAGCTTTTCTGGCCTGCCCTTGCCCCCATGGATTGTTCTCTGGTTCCTATTTCTCTATTAGGAATTAAACTATTCCTGCACTGGAAAGGCAAATAGTAGATATGCTATCAGCTCTGCACTTTCTTGACCGGGTTTGCAGGGTTATTCACCATCTAGTTGTGCCTTCCCATTTGGAGGTTTGAGATTAACAAATGAAGCGATAGGTTCTAAGCCTTATGCTATAGACCCAAAGCCCCCTTTGGAGCCTCAACACACAGAATCCCACTTCCCTCACAGATTGCCCCTAAAGTTCTTGATGATGCAAACTTCTACATATCCCATCTACAGTCTTCTGTTGATTCATAAGCATTACAGGCTCACATTCTTCCTTGTCCAGTCTCACAATTCCATCAAGTGAAATACATTGTAAGCACCCCGAGAAGGTTGATGAAACACAGTAACAATTGCAAGGGGGAGGTGGGTATGCATACACTTATATGTAGTAGATACCACATAAAGAAGAAAACTGTTCTGTATCGAGATCAACTCCACCGTGGTCCTTTCCAGGTTTTAGTAGGAGCCTTAGGACAGCGGTTGTAGAGGCTAACTTTCCCTCCCCCAATTAGTATAGACGCTGGGCAATTAGCCCATAGAGTAGGGAGGGTTGGAAACCTCCAAATGAGGGGTGGTTTTTTTATATATACAGTATATGTGTGTGTGTTTTCCCTGTCTTCAGTAAATCGAGTTGAATTACTACGGTGTCGCAGCTCTTATTTGGCATCGAACCCCACTATCTAACAAAAACAGAAAGAGCCAACCTCATTGTTGAGCTAAGAGAAATGTAAGGTATGAAGAGGAAGGATGTGAGCCTGCAGCACACAGAGATGCAACAGTGATCCTCCGGATGCTCTTGGCCTGCAACAATTGGTAGCCCTAGCTAGCACAGCCAATAGTGAGGCATTCCAGGAGTTGTAGCCTGCAACATGGTGAGGATCACAACTGCCCTCTCCTGTGATAAGAGCTACGTTAACTAGAACCCCAACACCAACAAAACAGGAGCCAGGTCCAAAACCCATAAACCCAGAACAAAAGAATTCTGAAGCCACAAATTTGTTCTCAGCACCAGAACAGAGTGGTGCCTGCAACTGTTTCACATAAAAATCTATTCCTGGTCATTCCAAGAGGTCTTAATTTCAACATAATTTATGGGTGGAGAGGAGGGCAAGTCATGTTGTTATTGCTGCTGTTGAACAATTAGGAGCCCTTTAAGAGCTACAGGAAATCAAACAAGATCTACCTTCCTTCCACCTCTGGCACGCAGGAAATACCAAAATGTGCAAAAAATTCACTTGAGATTGACCCTTCACCACCATCTTTATTAAATGTGTGCTTTGGGTTAGACCATCGTGTGGCAAAATGTTCTGTGTTTTCAACAGTTGTTACTAGTTCTAAAAATGGCAGAATGCTTGGGTGTATCACATTCCAGCAAGACACCATCAAAAGCAAAACACGTCTTATATACAGGAAAACTACAGGCCCATGGAAGACAATGAAAAACAAACTTACCTGGAGTCCCAATAAGCGGGCAAAGAAGTTTGATCCTAAGTCACCAATAACAACGTAGAAAGCAATGCAGGTTCCTAGCATCAGTCCAATCATACTGCAAAGGGACACAAATTGGCAGGTCACTCCAGAGCAGAGAGTCCCCTTGGAATGTAGCCCTTACTATTTGCCAAGCATATGATAGTTGCTGCATTGAGGTGAGACTGGCAATCTGAAATATTCTGAACACAGACACCTCTTACAGCCAACACTCTGGACACTTTATCTATGAATTTTATACCTGGTTGCTAAGAGGGCAGCTTCAGCAGAAGCAGAGATCATATGAAGCAGGCTCTGTGCTTCACACTCCTTAACATAGGCACTCCGCAAACACACTGTACAGAAGTATGTTTGACACCACCCTCTAATCTAAACCCATTGTGCTATCACTAGACAAACAGACCACGAAAAACCTGGCCTATAAACAACAGGCAACATGGTGGGGCTCCAAGAGGGCCACATTTACCATATGAGGTGGAAGTAAAGACAATATTAGACTGTGTCTTCTTATGCATTAAGGTTATGGCTATGTAGCAGTCTACATAGTGCAGCTGCATACACTGTGGGAACCTAATGTTGACCCTTGGGTAGTGTAGGTGGCATATAAGTTAAATAATAATAAAAAATGATAATAATGTTGACTGTTACCCTACAGGACACTCGGAGAACCCATCTAAGACATGGGGATATTCTGCACAGGGCACACAGCAGAGTATACTGTCTGTGCTGCATTTCCTCTCTCTCCTGTTAGAAGCTTGGAAACAAGCACTTCCTAAGTTCAGTGACATTTGGTACGTTTTGATTACTAGTTCAGGTGAAGCTCAAATACAGTGGTGCCCCGCTAGATGATCACCTCACAAAACGCTTAATTCGCTAGACGATGAGTTTTTGTGATCACTATAGCACTTCACAAAACTGTTTCCTATGGGCGATTTTCGCTGGATGATGTTTCGGTCTGTGCTTCGCAAGACGGGTTTTTTTCAGGACCTTTTTCATAAGACTGATTTTGACAGCTGGTCTGTGACTCGCAAAATGAGTGTTTTTGGGGCCATGCTTCGCAAGACGGGTTTTTTTCAGGACCGTTTTTCACAAGACTATGATTTTGACAGCTGGTCTAAAACTCGCAAAACGAGTGTTTCCAGGGCCATTTTTTGCAAGACAGCAATTTTGACAGCTGATCCGCACTTCGCAAAATGGGTTTCATATGGATGATTTTCGCAAAATGATGATATTTCCCCATTGGAACGCATTAAATGGATTTCAATGCATTCCAATGGGAAACCGCATTTCGCCAGACAATGTTTTCAGAAAACAGCGATTTTCACGGAACGAATTAACATCGTCTTGTGGGACACCACTGTAGTTCCATTTCACTATACTGTGAGCACTGAAACATTTTCCACACCCAAACAAAGGACTGAAGAACATGCAGAGAAACACCATAAATAATGATAGCACTCATTCTTGGTAGTCATCTTACAGTACTTCTGAAACAGATTCTGAAAATGGCACAATTTGCTTCCCCTTTGATTTTTAAATAAATGTTCTAAAATGGTGGTGGGAAAAGTCATACATACATACATACATACATACATACATACATACATACATACATACATACATACATACATACATACATACATACATACATACATACATACATACATACATACATACACAAAACATCTAGTGGAGGTGTGTGGCTGCTGTTTTATGGTACTTTAATAAAAGGGATACTCTAGAAACCATACAGCTACGAAAGGTGAAAGTCTTCAAGTGCACACATGTTAATTTAATGGCTTTCCCACAGCCAAGAAAGGAAGCTCTACTTTGGGAATATATATTTTTTAAAAGATACATATATGGACCACAGGGAATAAAAAATTGGGAAACTTGGAATAGTCAATAGTATTCCATCACACATAGCTGGGATGAGAGGGGAAGAAACAAGCTTGAAGCCTATGCATGCTTAATAGAGAGTGGGATGTGCCTTAACCCTCCTAGGAAGATGGACAACATTTTAATTAAGAGATCATCCTGGGAACCTGTGTGCCATTCCCTTTCACAGACTATTTCCTCTCCCATTTCTGACCATATCATATCTCCAGAGCAATTATATGGCAAAGTAACAGCAAAGAAGCACTGAACATATTTTAAGGTATTTAATCATCACCACCACCTCAGACCTGCAGAGCTGGAAGGGAGCCTATAGATCATTGAGTCCAGCCCCTGTTCACAACCTAGTTTACATCTGAGAGTAAGAGAGGGAGCCAGGATCACACCACTAGTTAGCTCACCACAGATTACAGTTTGAGAACCTCCATCACAGAAAGCAACCCTGTGATGCTATTGATATTCAAATTACAGGCTACATTGAGATGCAGATTTCCTTGTCTTACTGTGAGAGGGATGCACAACCACCGTAGATGCAGGAGAAGAGGAGGCGAAGAAAAAGCTGCCCTAGGTTGCTTTTCTATAATTCAATCACTGGACAAACCAGAGTAAGATAAGGCAAGCCATATTTTTGTTTATAAAAGAAAGGTTACAGTGAAAGGAAGTAAAGGATTTCAAATGATGACAGAAGCACCATGCTATTATTATTGCTGGAAAATTGCTCACGTAGTTCTTGCTTTATGGAGGTGGGAACCATTGGAGACAGGATAAAAAGCCAGTACTGAAATATGTACTGATCTCTGCAGAGACTGAAGTGGGAACAATGAACAGGCCTCCCCTGCCTGACCTGTAATGAGCCCGAGGAGTAGGGAAGGGAAATGAATCCCAAACCTTCCAAATGGAATCCCATCACTTCCAGCTTGGAAATGGTGGGACTCGTCATCCAAGCAGCCATCTTAACCAAGAAAATCTATGTGAGAAGCTGAAAGCAAAACATCAGGGGCCCTTCTAATTATATAGGGTGAACCCACAACAATGTGATCGAGGAGCTACAGTATATACATATCAGATTGCCTAGTCAAATAATAACAAGTGCATGTACAAGGCCAGGATCTGGTTCAGTGAAAGCACTTGCACAATGCCTGCTGCAAGCATTACGTCCCCAGATTTAAGTGGATGGTACCTCCTTTCTCTGCCTAAATAAACAGCACAGTGGTACAGCTCTGAAGGCTAACAAAGCACTCACTGATACAGGGTCCAAAGCACTGGGCTTTTAAAAGAGGGAGCTGTAGCTGCGAATGTGCATCAAACATGGAGGCTTCATACTATTCTGCAGAAGGGGAGGGGAGACATGTGGCCCTCCATGTTTTTGACTAAATTTCAAGAAGCCACAGTCAGCATGGCCAATAGTGGAGGACTACAGAACTTGTACCTCCACCGATCTAGAGGGCCAAAGGTCTGCCATCCCAGGTTGAACACATGCGAGTTGCACTGTAAACTTCCCTGGGAGAAAGATTGTGACTAGCCCAGAAATAGGACATGACAGTAGAGACAGAACACCAAATCTGAAAAGGTCAAAATAACTTATTTAAAACTATGAACAAACAGTTTAGAATATTAAAGTGATGCACTTTGAGTTATTTTTAAGGAGAAAGGTGGGATAAAAGTATTTGAGAGAGAGAGAGAGTTACCTAGTTTCCACCAGCATTTTCCCAGATTTTCCATAAGCGTGGAAGGCTAAAAAAAGAGGAGGAAACACAAATGTAACACCACAATTATTGAAATGTATGTTCAAAACTCTGCATGTAATTTAAAAAAAAGAGTATCAGCCACCAGAGGCAATGGAGAAAGCAGGAGTTTGCTAATTTTATTTATTTATTTATTTATTTATTTATTTATTTATTTATTTATTTATTTATTTATTTATTCATTCATTC